TCATTCAGGACATCGTTAATTGATAAAACAAAAGTAAGATCAATCTAGCCTCGCATACATACCTGGTACAGGTGAGGTAGATCAGACCTTTGGTAAACACAGCCAACTTTCTCTTCCATTGTTTTTAGCACTGACTGTACAACAGGGATGTAACCTTGTATTTTACCTGGATCTATCTGGGATAACACAATACAACAGGGATGTGGGCTAATGTTTTACTCGGATCTACCTGTGTAACACAATACAACAGGGATGTGGGCTAATGTTTTACTCGGATCTACCTGTGTAACACAATACAACAGGGATGTGGGCTAATGTTTTACTCGGATCTACCTGTGTAACACAATACAACAGGGATGTAGGCTAATGTTTTACTCGGATCTATCTGGGGTAACACAATACAACAGGGATATAGGCTAATGTTTTACCCAGATCTATCTGGGGTAACACAATACAACTGGGATGTAGGCTAATGTTTTACTCGGATCTACCTGTGTAACACAATACAACAGGGATGTAGGCTAATGTTTTACTCGGATCTATCTGGGGTAACACAATACAACAGGGATATAGGCTAATGTTTTACCCAGATCTATCTGGGGTAACACAATACAACTGGGATGTAGGCTAATGTTTTACTCGGATCTACCTGTGTAACACAATACAACAGGGATGTAGGCTAATGTTTTACTCTGATCTACCTGTGTAACACAATACAACAGGGATGTAGGCTAATGTTTTACTCGGATCTATCTGGGGTAACACAATACAACAGGGATGTAGGTTTGTATTTTACTTGGATCTATCTTGGGTAACACAATACAACAGGGGTGTAGGCTAATGTTTTACTCGGATCTATCTGGGGTAACACAATACAACAGGGATATATGCTAATGTTTTACCCAGATCTATCTGGGGTAACACAATACAACAGGGATATAGGCTAATGTTTTACCCAGATCTATCTGGGGTAACACAATACAACAGGGATATATGCTAATGTTTTACTCAGATCTATCTGGGGTAACACATAAAACTGTAGGTGATGTTTATACCGATTATAGAACAGGGATACAGGGTTGTTCCAACAATTCAATATTGATTGCATTTTAGTTATTATGTTGAAAATTAAAACGGAGATCATTTTAAATAAAGAAATAAAGTCGACAATGTCCTTGAACAGACTTGTGTGAGCTATTCACGTTTCAACAGACCGCTGTGTGAGCTGTTCAGGGATCAGCTGGTACTGCACGTGCACCATGCCGTGAGAGCAGCGAGAGAGGACGAGATTAAACGAGATCAGGTGGTCCGTCTTGACCAGGCCATACTAGCCAGGCTTCTATACTCGCATACTTTATAATTTACGGGAGTGATTTGTTACTGTCCAAAGGTTTATAACGTAGGTTAGGCTTTAGAATAATGAGTTTATTAGAACATGCACACGTCTGTACCGTCCTTACACCATAGCGCACTTAAATGTAAACGCTGAAAAGATAACGATTTCATACTGTGCGTTCTTTCGTTGTCGGACTACACTAAGTGCGTGGGTTAAAATTAAAACACAGAGCTAACGTTTAAAGTTCCAATGGCCTACTTGAATACATCACATAAGGCTTGTAAGGCTGCCCAGCAAAGTTGTTTTCATTATATTTTTCAATCACCTTATGGCGAATTATCAGTCCAGAATCAAACCCCCCCCCTCCCACCCCTCAATCTCCTCCCCTAATACAGAAGTGGTTCATCTAAATCGTGGATTACACCAAGACCCCTGCTGTCAGGGCTATAAAAGGCGGCGTTAAGACCGTCGTGTGGACACTGGCAGCCAGCCGACACTATGTTGACTAGCACGGGGTAAGTTCTAGCATTGGGTTTTTTTAGTTATTGTTGGAGTCATAGCTACTCATTGACGTGATATAGAATTACGAGAATTGTCGTAGCTACTTATTGCCGTGATATAGAATTACGAGAATTGTCGTAGCTACTCATTGCCGTGTTATAGAATTACGAGAATTGTCGTAGCTACTCATTGCCGTGATATAGAATTACGAGAATTGGCATAGCTACTCATTGCCGTGATATAGAATTACGAGAATTGGCATAGCTACTCATTGCCGTGATATAGAATTACGAGAATTGGCATAGCTACTCATTGCCGTGATATAAAATTACGAGAATTGGCATAGCTACTCATTGCCGTGATATAGAATTACGAGAATTGGCATAGCTACTCATTGCTGTGATATAGAATTACGAGTTGTCGTAGCTACTCATTGCCGTGATATAGAATTACGAGAATTGGCATAGCTACTCATTGCCGTGATATAGAATTACGAGAATTGGCATAGCTACTCATTGCTGTGATATAGAATTACGAGTTGTCGTAGCTACTCATTGCCGTGATATAGAATTACGAGAATTGTCATAGCTACTCATTGCCGTGATATAGAATTGCGAGAATTGGCATAGCTACTCATTGCTGTGATATAGAATTACGAGTTGTCGTAGCTACTCATTGCCGTGATATAGAATTACGAGAATTGTCGTAGCTACTCATTGCCGCAATATAAAATTACGAGAATCGTCATAGCTACTCATTAACGCATTATAAAATTACGAGAATTGTCATAGCTACTCAATGCCACCATACGTAATAACTCCACACCTGCTGTGAGTGATGTCATTGTTACTCCAAACCGGAATATGTAATGCCTATGTAAAATCTAGCGGGAGTACCATCACACAATTCACACAGTATTAGGTGTGTATACAACTAGAGATTGGGCGGTGAGGAAATACATTACCAAAGTCGATTCCCAAGGGCCATGTTTTGTTTAGTCTATGTTTCAAATACATTTTCAAAGAACAACTTTCATTGTATCTATTCCGAGTTAAAAATTCTCTGTATCAGCGATGCTCTCATTACGATTACGTGGGCATACGGAGTACTAAAATCAAATTTGATTGAAAACAAAAAATAATTTTAGCGCGTTGTTTTCTTTGACCATGTGGATTACAATTTGGTTTCGTGTGGCCAATACATACAAAGAGTGAGAACCACTGAATTTGTATTGGTATGTAACAAAGCCACGCACCATTACGACAAACCGCTTTTGTAAAAATAAAAATTCAAACACGGGTGACATCACAATACAACATCACACAGTCTACCCACGTTTGCTTTCAGCGTTATCTTACGGCGGCTTGTCAGTGTAGGTATCCAGAAATCATGCGTCGACACGGTCAAGTGGATGGTTATAACCTGCGGGAGCTCCAGGACAACGAGAGGACTTGTTAAAGGAACACAGGCCACAAGGTAATCAGTTTTCTGATGTCCTTATTGATAATTTGAGAACTACTCGCTTCATAGGACACAGGCCACAAGGTAATCACAGTTTTCTGATGTCTTTATTGGTAATTTGAGAACTACTCGCTTCATAGGACACAGGCCACAAGGTAATCACAGTTTTCTGATGTCTTTATTGGTAATTTGAGAACTACTCGCTTCATAGGACACAGGCCACAAGGTAATCACAGTTTTCTGACGTCCTAATTGGTAATTTGAGAACTACTCGCTTCATAGGACACAGGCCACAAGGTAATCAGTTTTCTGATGTCCTAATTGATAATTTGAGAACTACTCGCTTCATTGGACACAGGCCACAAGGTAATCAGTTTTCTGACGTCCTAATTGGTAATTTGAGAACTACTCGCTTCATAGGACACAGGCCACAAGGTAATCACAGTTTTCTTATGTCCTAATTGGTAATTTGAGAACTACTCGCTTCATAGGACACAGGCCACAAGGTAATTTAAGTTTTCTGACGTCCTAATTGGTAATTTGAGAACTACTCGCTTCATAGGACACAGGCCACAAGGTAATTTAAGTTTTCTGACGTCCTTATTGATAATTTGACACAGGACAAACGACAACAGATAATTTAAAGCTTTCGGACTTCCTTGTGTGATAGTTTGAGAACTAATCCGTTTTATTGAACTGCCTGCAATTATTATTTTTTGTATCATCCCTTCCTAAACGCCTTAACGCACTTACTATACCCCAACTAAATCAGCACACATGGAGTAATAGCCCACTATATCAAAGAGTTGATTTATTAAGCTGCCCTAACGCTGACCCCTAAACTTTACCCTAAAACGATAGACATTTACAATAAAGGAATAGCGTTGTAAACTCTACATCCAACCATCTTCTTTGCCCAACGAAAATTCTCGATCTCATCAAGGATGAGTAGACTCCGGAACGTCGTACGGACATAAACAGGTAACCGAATAGAAACTTTCGGGCTTGAGATAGAGTGCTCCAACGCCACATCCATACAAAAATCATTACCCGTGGAGTACACTACACCATCTGATACTACCAACTACCACAGCTGTACGAAGTGCTATGGTGATCGGGCGACGAACTTATCGCCTACTTCACACTCAATAATTGATACAGATAAACGTGTGTAGTGGCCCAAAGAACTATTCACTGAATAACCGAACATCGCACGATCCTACTACCTACAGCTTACAATATAAAAAACATGACAAAAATTGACAGAGAAACACAGGTTATAACTGTCATGACCTGTGCACTAAAATATCAACTAAAAGTTACACTTCTAAAATATTTTTATCAATACGTGTACAAAAAGTCCAACTTACACAAATTGACTCTTAAAATACTTTTTCCACCTAAATGTTATATTTATAGCAAGTAGACTTTTAAAATAACATATCTATCTGAATGTCCTCAAAAACTAACAGTACAAAACATCTTTCCATCATCTAGTGGGTTGCTGTTGGCGTCACGAGGACTCAGAGTCACGCCGTACCAAGGAGAACTGTCAGAGTCATCGAGTGACAAGAGCAGCAGTGGAACGAATCCCGGTGCTCCTCTCCAAAAATTCCTTGCTGAAGGTCCTCTCGGGCTAGATAGAGATCATACCAAACTAAACGATGACGCGTTATCTAGCGCCGAGGAGATGAAGTCGGATATGACGTCATTATCATACGATACAGCTGTAGGCTTAAGAACCCAGAAAGAGGAGGATGATTCTCAACAAGAGACACAGGAAACTCCTGAGCCGGCAGTTCTAGACGTCCAAAGTTCTGGCACGACAGGAGACACCTCAGTTGGTCACTTTAAATGTCCGTTCTCAGACCAAACTGTTGAAGCTGACAATCAAACCTTGGACTTGACACAGTCTAAAATATCATTCCACAAAGGACACGGGGTCAAGTCAGTCCCTCCACATACACGTACAAAGTCTGGGCCAGAGAACACTGCTGTTGCTGTAGCGCCCAGCGAAGAAAACAGCACCCTGAATGTGGCGCCGAATGTGACAAACGGTGCCCTGAATGTGGCGCCAAATGTGACCAACGGTGCCCCGAATGAGGGACCAAATGTAAATAATAGCGATCTTGGTGTGACGCCAAACTTAGACGGCAAAGACCACAGCGCTGTAGCGGCGACCCAGGACAAGAAAGAAGCGTCAGAGCAAGATGGCGACATTGTTGTAGTGACGGGTGGGTGTGGCTTCCTAGGGCAGCACATAGTGAAGATGCTCCAGCTGCGAGCGACGCACGTGTCGGAGATTTGGGTCTACGACGTCAACCCGTTTCAACAGAAGTTAGGTATGTGCTTCTAAATCGTTAGATTAAAGAAGAAAAAGATACATAAACTCTTACACTTTGCTGACTGCGTGAGGCTGCTTGGGTGAAATTTCATAAAACAGTTCTTAGTTTTAGTATAACAAACATTTACGTGAGGCTGCTTGGGTGAAATTTCATAAAACAGTTCTTAGTTTTAGTATAACAAACATTTACGTGAGGCTGCTTGGGTGAAATTTCATAAAACAGTTCTTAGTTTTAGTATAACAAACATTTACGTGAGGCTGCTTGGGTGAAATTTCATAAAACAGTTCTTAGTTTTAGTATAACAAACATTTACGTGAGGCTGCTTGGGTGAAATTTCATAAAACAGTTCTTAGTTTTAGTATAACAAACATTTACGTGAGGCTGCTTGGGTGAAATTTCATAAAACAGTTCTTAGTTTTAGTATAACAAACATTTACGTGAGGCTGCTTGGGTGAAATTTCAATGCAAGACCAATTTTACCGTGTCCTTAACATCATTCGAGATCATTGCGTTGTTCTCTTCTTTCGCAAAGAGGTCACAGTACTAAAGTGATTGTCTTTTAATTATTTCAAAACATTAAAAGCCATTCGCATATATTGCAGTATTATTAGAAATAGGGAGGGGGGGTAGTAGTTTTACTCTAATTCTTTTAGTCATGCTACAATTCTATGTGCAACAATGCTCCAAAATGTGTGAGTTGTATAGATGCGAGTTAATTAAACAAGGCAGGTCAAACGTGTGTGGAGTAGGTGTAACAGAACTGAGATAATGTTCTGCTTCACAGAGTACCAGGCTACGAAGAAGGTTAAATCTATAACCGGAAGCGTCACCGACGCCAGGTATGTGACCCACGCCCTGAAGGGCGCCAAGTCTGTCATCCATGTGGCGGGCTGCGCCAGCTGGGGAACGTTTCCCGACTTCGAAGGCATGGAGAGGGTTAACACCACAGGTACGTCACACAAGTTTGAAGGCATGGAGAGGGTTAACACCACAGGTACGTCACACAAGTTTGAAGGCATGGAGAGGGTTAACACCACAGGTACGCCACACAAGTTTGAAGGCATGGGGAGGGTTAACACCACAGGTACGCCACACAAGTTTGAAGGCATGGGGAGGGTTAACACCACAGGTACGCCACACAAGTTTGAAGGCATGGGGAGGGTTAACACCACAGGTACGTCACACAAGTTTGAAGGCATGGAGGGGGTTAACACCACAGGTACGTCACACAAGTTTGAAGGCATGGGGAGGGTTAACACCACAGGTACGCCACACAAGTTTGAAGGCATGGGGAGGGTTAACACCACAGGTACGTCACAAAAGTTTGAAGGCATGGGGAGGGTTAACACCACAGGTACGTCACACAAGTTTGAAGGCATGGGGAGGGTTAACACCACAGGTACGTCACACAAGTTTGAAGGCATGGGGAGGGTTAACACCACAGGTACGTCACACAAGTTTGAAGGCATGGAGAGGGTTAACACCACAGGTACCGTGCACGCCACACAAGACATTTTCATTCAAATAAGTCATCACTATGTTGCTTACATATACGGAAACTGCATTCTGATCACCAGACGTATGTAAGATATCCCCTTTCTTTACTGAACCAAATAATGACAACAATAAAACCCCAACATTTCTACCTGTCAATCAAAATCCTAACTTCCCTACTTGGACATCAAAACAACACCTAGCATATCAACCTGTACATCAATACAACACCTAACATCCCTACCTTCGCACCAAAATCCTAACATCTCAACCTTCACACCGAAATCCTAACATCTCTACCCGCTGATCTAAAAATCCCACCTGACCAAGCTGAACTTAATATCCCAGGGACTCTGAACGTGCTCAACGCTTGCCTAAAGAACAACGTGGAGAGACTGATATACTGCAGCACGGTGGATGTGGCTATAGGCCACCAGCCCATCCGAGGGGGGGACGAGACCAACACCCCCGTGCCGGACACGTTTCTCTTCCCCGGCTACCCAGAGACCAAGTACAACGGCGAGCGGGTACTGCTGGCCACACCAAAGGACAAGAGAGGTAAGTCTTACTTTACATGGGACAAGAGAGGTAACTCTTACTTGACTCAAGACAAGAGAGGTAACTCTTACTTGACTCAAGACAAGAGAGGTAACTCTTACTTGACTCGGGACAAGAGAGGTAACTTACTTTACATGGGACAAGAGAGGTAACTGTAGTCGGGACAAGAGAGGTAACTCTTACTTGACTCGGGACAAGAGAGGTAACTCTTACTTGACTCGGGACAAGAGAGGTAACTTACTTTACATGGGACAAGAGAGGTAACTGTAGTCGGGACAAGAGAGGTAACTCTTACTTTACATGGGACAAGAGAGGTAACTGTAGTCGGGACAAGAGAGGTAACCTTTACTTGACTCGGGACAAGAGAGGTAACTCTTACTTGACTCAAGACAAGAGAGGTAACATTAGTCGGGACAAGAGAGGTAACGGTAGTCGGGACAAGAGAGATAACATCTCTAGTGATGAAAAGATTGTGCGCAAAATCTATTATTTGTGCACGCTGCTTTGAAATTACTTACATGTATTATGTTACTTGCATTCAATCAAGTCCCTGTGCGGTAAGTTTGCGCGGCCGCAAAATAGAGCAGTTAGAAGGGACGTGGGGTAAGAGAGACAACTCTTTTTAGTGAGCAAAAGAGAGAAAATTCTTTATTTAGTAAGGATAAGAGAAGTAACTCTTAATTGAGTCAGGACAAAGGTGGTACCGCTAAAGTCGGTACAAGGGAGGCTACCCATGATTTAGCTGTAGAAAACTATAACTACAACCATGTATATAACTATAACATAGCTAAAGTGAGGTTTTAAGGGGAATTAATAAAATAATTTCAGGGGGTACACTTCAAACAGCCGTGCTGAGGGCGAATGTCTGCTATGGTGAACTGGATAGCTCTTATGTGATTAATGCATTGAAGTCTGCTAAACAGAATAATGGAGTTTTGTATCAGGTAAATGCAGAATTGTGCATGAGTTGTGAAGAATGTAAATAAAGAATGTAGACAGATTCGGGACCTGATAAAACATCAATCTTAACATAGAACCTAAAATATTGTTAATATTAATCTTGTCATACTGCCTATGTGTCTTTCATATCTATAATTTGCAGAGGAAAAAATATTTCACATAAAAATGTTGACACCCATACACTTGTATTCTTGTAAAAACTGGTGCCATGTGTATCTTTCTTCTGTACTTCTTTATTTTTTAAATATTTAAATAGCTTAAAATATTTTTTCGAGTGTGTTACACAATTTTTTCTTACATCTTTTACAATTCAACTTTTGCCCTGCTTCACACAATTCAACTTCTGACCTGTTTCACATACTTCAACTTCCCATCAGGTGGGTGATGGGAGCGCCATGTTCCAGCAAGCCTATGTTGGCAACACTGCCTGGGCGTTTGTGTGTGCCGACCTGGCAATGAAGAACAACCCCCAGCTCAGTGACCAGATTTTTTACATCCCAGACAACACGCCCATCCAGAACAGTTTCAACTTCATCCGCCCATATCTTGAGGCTCGGGGCTTCCGGCTGGCGCCAAGGCCTCTGCCCTACCCTCTGATGCACGGTGCCGTGTCACTGGCGGAGCTTTTCGTCAAGGGTTTGTCTCCCCTGGTTAGGCTGAGCCTTCCAGCCCAGTCCCACACCTTACAGTACATCAACACTGACCTCTACTTCTGTGGGAACAAGGCTCGCAAGATGTTGAACTTTGAACCTATTTTCAGCCCTAATGAGGCCAGAGCACAGTCTTTAAAATACTACACAGCTGTCAATTTGGATGAAAAGCCAAGCCAAGAATTAAAGCCACCAAAATAATTTTATCGTTCATATTAAAACTAATTATTTAAAACAACAGTTTTACTGGTTTTATATTTTGTCATGTTTTAAATTTTAATACTAATTTTCAGTCCTTGATGACAAAAGAGATTTAAAAACAAAGTCGCCCAACTAAAGACATCGGCTATGAGAAATAAATCCAGTTAACATTCCACCCCCCTTCCACGGAGGAATGATGTCAATCTGTGTTTAATGACGTATTTATGTAATTGCTTATTCATACCACTTCAAAAAGAATATTTTTTTTAAGATAAAGTTGGCATTTTTTCGACGTCATTTAGTGTAGCTCTTAGACGCTTTCCTGCCTTGTGATGCTACTGCTTGTAATTTGTTCATATGAAAGAAACTAATCTTGCAAAGATACAATGCCTCCCTTTATTTAAACAGAAACAGCGTCATTAGACCAACAAAAGTAACAAAAGCCCTAGCCACAGACCAACAACCAGCTTGGCCAAGTAGCCAAATTAAACAGGTCAGCTAACTAGAGATGTGTAGTTTTATGGCCACAAATATGCACACAAACTTACCTGGTTTGATATGAACAGATTTTAAAATGTGTCTAGTTTGTCTTAAAACTGAACTTACTTGGTTAGATGAGAACAGTTGGGTCAGGCATGGCAAGGACACAAGTTTATCTACTGTAAACTCTGTCAGCTGACACTTGTATTGCTGGATGTACTGGGTGATAGCATCTTGGAGAACCTGACAAACATACACAATGTCAGGTTAGACCTGGGATGTAGTGGGTGAACCTGACAAACATACACAATATCAGGTTAAACCTGGGATGTAGTGGGAGAACCTGACAAACATACACAATATCAGGTTAAACCTGGGATGTAGTGGGAGAACCTGACAAACATACACAATAGCAGGTTAGACCTAGGATGTAGTGGGAGAACCTGACAAACATACACAATATCAGGTTAGACCTGGGATGTAGTGGGAGAACCTGACAAACATACACAATAGCAGGTTAGACCTAGGATGTAGTGGGAGAACCTGACAAACATACACAATATCAGGTTAGACCTGGGATGTAGTGGGAGAACCTGACAAACATACACAATATCAGGTTAGACCTGGGATGTAGTGGGAGAACCTGACAAACATACACAATATCAGGTTAAACCTGGGATGTAGTGGGTGAACCTGACAAATACACAATATCAGGTTAAACCTGGGATGTAGTGGGTGAACCTGACAAACATACACAATAGCAGGTTAGACCTAGGATGTAGTGGGAGAACCTGACAAACATACACAATATCAGGTTAGACCTGGGATGTAGTGGGAGAACCTGACAAACATACACAATAGCAGGTTAGACCTAGGATGTAGTGGGAGAACCTGACAAACATACACAATATCAGGTTAGACCTGGGATGTAGTGGGAGAACCTGATAAACATACACAATAGCAGGTTAGACCTAGGATGTAGTGGGAGAACCTGACAAACATACACAATATCAGGTTAGACCTGGGATGTAGTGGGAGAACCTGACAAACATACACAATAGCAGGTTAGACCTGGGATGTAGTGGGTGAACCTGACAAACATACAAGTACAGGTTAGACCTAGGATGTAGTGGGAGAACCTGACAAACAAAAACAATATCAGGTTAGACCTGGGATGTAGTGGGAGAACCTGACAAACATACACAATATCAGGTTAGACCTGGGATGTAGTGGGAGAACCTGACAAACATACACAATATCAGGTTAGACCTGGGATGTAGTGGGTGAACCTGACAAACATACAAGTACAGGTTAGACCTAGGATGTAGTGGGAGAACCTGACAAACATACAAGTACAGGTTAGACCTAGGATGTAGTGGGAGAACCTGACAAACATACACAATATCAGGTTAGACCTGGGATGTAGTGGGAGAACCTGACAAACATACACAATATCAGGTTAGACCTGGGATGTAGTGGGAGAACCTGACAAACATACACAATATCAGGTTAGACCTGGGATGTAGTGGGAGAACCTGACAAACATACACAATAGCAGGTTAGACCTAGGATGTAGTGGGAGAACCTGACAAACATACACAATATCAGGTTAGACCTGGGATGTAGTGGGAGAACCTGATAAACATACACAATAGCAGGTTAGACCTAGGATGTAGTGGGAGAACCTGACAAACATACACAATATCAGGTTAGACCTGGGATGTAGTGGGAGAACCTGACAAACATACACAATATCAGGTTAGACCGGGGATGTAGTGGGTGAACCTGACAAACATACAAGTACAGGTTAGACCTGGGATGTAGTGGGTGAACCTGACAAACATACAAGTACAGGTTAGACCTAGGATGTAGTGGGAGAACCTGACAAACATACACAATAGCAGGTTAGACCTAGGATGTAGTGGGAGAACCTGACAAACATACAAGTACAGGTTAGACCTGGGATGTAGTGGGAGAACCTGACAAACATACAAGTACAGGTTAGACCTGGGATGTAGTGGGTGAACCTGACAAACTTACACAATATCAGGTTAGACCTGGGATGTAGTGGGAGAACCTGATAAATACAAATGGTAGCTGCTGTGAGGTTAATTCAATTAGTAATAAAACAGATAGTATTAGTTACCTCACAAGTTAAAGACAGTTATAAATACTATGGACGTTTCAACCCAAGGTCTTTGTCAGCACACAACAGTGTGGTTACAGATTTGACAGAAAAAAACAAACAGTAACACAATTTTTGACATATAACAAATGGTAGCTGCAGTGAGGTTAATTCAATTAGTAATAAAACAGATAGTGTAAGTTACCACACAAGTTAAAGATAGTATTTGTAACTGTGTTACTGTTTGTCTTTTTTATTTACTTAAACAATTGTTTTAAAGAGTACTCACAGTCTCGTTTAAAGGATTCTCCTTGTCATTCATCTTACGTAGGTGTTCTTCAACCTTGGTAGGTAATATCACAGGCTGTTTGTACAGTTTATAAAATTTTGGTAAATCTAATATACGTTCCAGCTCAACATTTGGGTTTTCTATTTTGCCTGAGAGAGAAAAATTGTTTTGTTTATTGATAAAATAAAATGAGAGTGAGTTCTCCTTAACTTTCTTGTATATTTTCGACTCGGGTTGGTGTAAAACATTGAAATTTGTCAAAAGCTTGATATTTATTTTTTGCACGATTACAATTCTACATCCATACTATAAAAAAAAAAAACTAATATTTAAAAAACATTTAAAAAATGAAATGCAACATGAATTCTAAACAACAGTCTACAGCAAAAGATGACTAAGTCTGCACATACTCAAGAGTTAAGAAATAATGGCTTAATGTGCTAACCATCACTCACCATGACAACCAAACCAATACAGAAACCTTAAACTATACAAGATAAAAATAAATACAAAAAAGTAATAAAGTCATACTTACGATGGTCTAGCGCGCTTATTTCGTTCATGTCCCTGTGAACTCTAACCCTGCCTTGGATTTGAACAAGATCACCAAGAGAGTAGCCTTCATGGACACTAGACTGATAATGAGATGTAATAGCTGCAAACTTCTCTTGTAAACTTCTCGGCAGTGATGCCATGGAAATCACTTGCTCTGATATAAAACCAATAGATTAATTGTCTGAGTATACAGTTAATATGCTAAAAAGGCAAAGCCAATTAATTAAGAAGGGTAAAATCACTGTTAATTGGAGGAAGTTATTTATCTTATAGAATATTACTTGTGAGTAGATATATTAGTATAATTTTATTTTACCATTGTTTGAGTTTTTCCAGACTGTACAGGAGATAACACCAGTACCATCATCCACTAGGAGAAAAATAATCAAGAACTGCTGGCACATGTGTTAAGTTGAGCAAGCTAATTGTTTAATCAAACCTATTAAGATTTACTTTGTTTTTCAGAGATGTTGCAACTGAAGATAACTCGTAGCAATTTTAAAAGAGAATAATCTTCAGAAAACTTATTTAAAACATGATATTTTAACAATATAAACATACCAGATTATTAACACGGCGATAAATAAATCATCCTAAATAAATAGGACTTTTTATTTAACAAACGTACCTCCATATGATATGAATCTTTCCCTTTTATCTACTCTGACAATAATACCCATGATTTCCACTTTCTGAATTATATGGCCATTGAGACACATTAAATCTAAAAGTGTAAAAAAAATACTTTACAACAATATAAGGGTTAAAGATAGAAACAATTAAAAGTGGGCTCTATAAGCAGAAAATAATTATAAAAACATATAGGCCTACATGCTTAACAAGCTTAGGAATATTATTTTAATTGTAAATAAATGTTAGATGTTTACATTAAAAAACATTCAAAGTGTGAAATTACCTGGATTTGTGTCAATCAGCATTTTATTGTAATTGTTATAAACTAGCAATATTAGATATATTTTGTTTTTTCATTGACTTATTAACTATCTAGAAAATGTGCAGATAAATAGGGTAGTTAAAATTCAAGTAAGAACAGTATAGTAAGCCTATAGCCAGGTGAAATCTGAAACCATCATCATAGCTTACCTGTTGTTTCAGGAATATCATTTCTGATGATTCTGGCTTTTTGAAGCTGTAAAATGTCAGTAACTCGTAATTTGTAGCAAACTTTGAAGAGAGGATCAAGGCCTATGGTTAATGCTGGTATTGCCAATGCCATAGCTAGGAGTTGCAAAGTATATCTAGATTTAGTATTTGCAGAAGCTCATTCAACCATTTCTATCATTGTCCATCAAGCTCTGATTAATAGGCATATTTAACATATTCTGAAAAAAAAACAGGTATAGATGCCCAATTGGTAATGAATTATTAATTATTCATTAAACAGACAGTAACATTTTAAGCTAAAGATCGAGAAGTGGTGTATCTCTCATATCTGGTGTGTCACGAAGAGGGATACAACAATAGAATTGTTTTGACAAGTAAAGGAATGTTAATAATTAAAGATTTTTAAGACGTGAGATTAAGTACCTAAGTAATTTCTAATTTTTAATTAGCATATAAGGTATAGAGTAGGTAATGAGAATAATATTATGAATGTGGAAGTCTAGGAAAATATTTTTGAGGCGGCCCTTTAAAGCAGAACGAAACCTCCGGCTTAGCTTTGTCCATTTTTTCTTAAAGGTCATTTTTTGGCTGATTTCGAAAACTTAAAAAAAATAATTAAGTGGAGAAAATAAATGTATTTTCTGCACTTTTTTTGGCTCCAAAAACGCAGCATTAATGCATCGCATAACATCATCCACCAACCAAAATGCAGAGAAAACATACATTTGATTTAGCAGCTGACACTATGAAATCCTCCAGGGACAGCTCACTATGTATACCGGCCTATTAAACAGGCTTATAATTTAGTTTAAAAATATTAAAATAGATCTAGAATCTAGTCCTATTAGTATTAGGGCCTAATAATTTTAATTAACATAAAGTAAGACAAAGAGTAAGCGTTAAGTCTGTTAAGAATAAGCAAATTACTAAAGTGTAACTAATAAACTAATACTATAAAGCAAAGTCACAATGACACTAAAAAAGCGAAGTCACAGTGACAGTGTCACTATCACTATGTGAGTATGTGACTAAGCCCACTAAGTGACTAAAGTAAAGTGACTGACCTTTTGTTTTACATTTAGTAAAGTCTAGATCTAGATCTACTATCTAGATCTTAGACTGGATCAATGAGATTATTTAGTAGCTCTAGATCTTCTAGATAATCTAGCTCTCTCTAAAATATCTTGTCTTTTTTTACTCAAGTTTTGAGTCTTTTTTTATGACCAAGTTGAAGTTGTCTGGTGGTATTGTTTTTAGAAAAATGTTGACAGAGTAGCATAGCCTAATCAGAGTAAATCACTAATTAAAATCTATATATATAATTCTCTTATGGGAGACGCTAGAAAACAAGCTGTAAGCGCGCTCCCTACCACCCCCACATGGTGTGGTGAGCTGTGGTTCACGCTAAATGTTTACAAGCAGAGCCGGGTTTAGTGACGACTATTAGGGGCAGATAATTTAGTTTGAAACGATTTTAAACGTAGGGGGGGGGGGGGTAACTAAGTGGAGTTTACTTTAACGGAGAGAGGGGGAGGAGGGGGGGTTATCGTCCTTTACGGGCTACTTATAGTGTTTTAAAGAAATATTTTCAGTGGCAGCGTTGGTACTGTCGAATTTACAAATTATGAATTACTGAAAAGTAGAAAAAACAACAACTCAATAGTGGTGTATGATAATAAAATTTATTGATATGCCGCGGGTCGGCTCAGGCCTATTTACTAACTATTTAGTAACTAGATTCTAGATCTATTTACTAGATCTATTTACTATTTAGTAGTATTTCTCTCTAACTTGGATGCGTGGTCGGTTGCTAACAACAATATGGCGCCCGGACCGGACGTCTGGTTTCCGGTGATTTTTCGGCCAAATTTCAGAGACCTTCAACTAATTACATTTTAAAATGTTTACCACGCGCAAAATGGCGGGATTTCCGTGTCATAACAACAAACCATAAGTGGCAGGGTTAGATATGCCAGAAAAGCATTTTAAAATTTGGTTTGGAGAACGGAGGCTAAATTCAAAAGTTGGTTTCATTAAAATTAATAGAATTTAAAAAATATCAACAGTGTAGGTACAGAAATGAGCGAGAACGTAAAGCATTATTAGTTTTATCAGTCTATGAAAAAAGAAATCAAATATTGTGAGCTGTTTTTTTATAAGACCGGCGTCCGTATCACAACCAATTTATTTTTATTTTTTAAAAACCACGTGACCGCTATTTGGTGATCACTAGTGAGGAACTCTTGTGCATGGAGTCTAACCTGATTTGTGGTTTTCTTTAGCTTCAAGCTTAAGAAGAGTTGTCATGGAGAGATGTGTTGGACATGGTAGTGATTGACAATAAATATTAAATTAACTAATTTAGTTCAAAACGAACTAAAAACTCCAAAGTTAGTGCCTAATGGATTAAATATGGATGTCTATTATTCAGTGGTCATGTTTAAATTGATAATTGCGTAAATTCTAGATTTAGTGAGAAAAACTACTATTTAGTATTTATTAGGGCTACTAATTAATTTTATTAGCATGTTTTAAGGCCTAACTAATTACATTGTAATTTACAATAATAGATCTAGGCCTTAGGCCCCTACTAAGTTTAAATTTTAATGTTAGATCTACTAAAAGTAAAAGGGAGTAATATTAATGACTAGATTCTAATAAATAAGTAGATCTAGATCAAGTCAATTCTGAATTCATATTACCCGCTGGGCTTCGTACTCTAGTATTGCCAGATTAAAATATGAAAATATGGTATAAACACATCTCGTGCCATATAAATCTAGACTATGGCACTAGAAGTTGTTTAAATTAATGCACACACATAGATCTAGATCTAGATCTATGTATTTTAATCATAGGATAGAAATTGAAATTAAAACATACTTTGAAAGCTTGTATAAGTCATTTTAAAAGTAATATTGAACCTGATAAATTACTGTCACTTTTTATATCGGTTTTTCCGGCAAATGCAATCAAATTTAAAATCATAACTTAGATCAAAATAATGTTGAGCTTTCTCAGGACGGCTGAATAAATACATTTTTGTAGAAGATTGTGTTGAATGGGCGTAACTAAATTTACAGTATTTTTCCACTTTCCTCAAAGATAAAAGTGGCATTTTGGAAGGTGGGGGGGGGGGGGGGGGGGGGCTAAACTGTTCTCAGCTACCACTCAACAGTTAGGCTTGAAGTATGTTTGAAGGACAGTATGAACACAAACCTACAAAAATACATTTGTTGAAAGATACGTTATGAGGGTTTTTCAAATATAAAAAGTAAGCCTATTTTTAATAATGATAGTAGATTTCTACTTTGTCGTAGAAATAACTATCATTACGCGTCTATCAAGAAATGAACACGGTTAGTTAGTGGTAACATAAAAAGTTGAATAGGAGAAATTATTTAAAATTTCGCACGTGGAGAAAATGTTTTCATGTTTGGCAACAAAACAGTTTCCAAAAAGTTCATAAAATAAAAGAAAATAATATTGTGTGGAAAACTTTAAGTTGTATAATGTTATTTTTAGTGACTTTAAAATCTAATTTTTTTTTAAAAGTAGATGACCGTTAGTAAGAAATAATCACGAGACCGGAAGCCGGAGAAATACCGGTAGACCGGTTACTATTTCCGGCATTGAGAATAATAGTAAAAAACTATTAGGCCCTAGTTGGCCTACACTTTTATAAATTACTTCACTTGATTCGCAATTCTTATTCTTAAATATGAAATTAAATTGCAATTAAAATACCAATGCTATCATTATTTCCATTAACATTAATTATTATTTTATTAAGCCTTAAGCTCAGATGTTTGAAGCGTCCCCAACTGCAGGGCTTACGAACACAACACAAGCAGCTCATGCACTCACCGATGCAACTTGCATAATAAATGCATTGCAACGAACCCACCTTACGGGCGCTAGCTCTGCTAGATTTATTTAGGTTCTAGTTTTAGTAATCTAGAAGTAGAAGATCTAGATCTAATTCATTTCTGCATGCTTCTGTGACAAAGCTCCAAATGATCTCTGATTGAATTTATGTGGGCCTAACGCAAAACAAAGTTTTGAACTCTAGAAAAGAATGTTGTCTCCGCTTTTATTTAATATTTTTAGGCTTAGGCCTAGATCTACTAGAATTGTAGATCTACATAACATACATGTATTGTAGTTTTACTAGTGTACTACACAGATCTAGATCTACATACATTTTTCTACAAGTAGATTCTAGATCTACATAGATTCTAGATCTATTACAGTATTAGTATTTAATACTAGATCTATTTATTTAGGCTACTTTTTTTAATTTACTATTAGGCCTGATTTCTAATAATTACTAATTAGGCCTAATATTATGTTATTGCCCACACTAAACCTACCTGCACTTAACTACGCTAAATAGATGTAGTGTGTAGATCTATATCTATCTAGAATCTAACTAGGTTCGACAAAAGTTAAATTGATAAAAATTAGCCTTGTCTAGATTCAGGTGAAAACTGAAAAGATCCCTTTACTTTAACTTTTTTATTTCTTGTCTGCGCTAAGTCTAGACTTGTTCACTACTAGATTGAGATTTCTAGATGCAAATGATAGAGCAGTAATTTTTTTTTTAAAGCGAGAGATTCTATTTTCTAGTGGTTAATCTAGATAAGCTTATAATACTATATAGTGGCCTATCATGAATTCAAATTGTTACATTAGGTTTAGGAAAAAGCAAACTTTTACCACACAAACTCTCCAAAACCAAACAAAACTTTATTTTAACATATTACTTGTAACTCTGGTAGTACAGGACACATAGGTTTTTATTTTAGCTCTAATATACATTAATATAAAATGTTTAGCATGGAATAACATACACAAATACTAACTAGTTACCTGTTAGTAGGTGAGGCAGTGCTAGAGGAGGTCGGCCGCCCAAAGCGCCAACATTTAGAGAGACAGAACAGGGTAGAAAAAATATAAAATAAACTCATTTTGAGCTGCATTACTAAATTTAGTAAATTATGCACTGTCGAAGTTTAAGGAAATGAGGCTATTACTTGGATTTACTGTTTTCAACATTAATTGTGTGACACCAACATAAAATCTGTTAAGGGACAGTGGCTGGTATAAAGCACCCCTGACCTTTCTTAATTGCAGGGGTGCTTTATTCTAACTTAAATAATCATATAAATTGAGGGTGCAGTTAGGGGTCGGCGTGGTCGAGTCGGTAAAGCTCATGGTTGCTAAACCGAAAAAGTCTCGAGTTCGAACCCTCGGGCAGATGAGGCTCGTTAGCTGGGGACAGACACTCTTCTAGGAGAGACAACTCCAAAATTAAACAACTGCTGCCTTGTAGTTTGTTTTTGGTTAGACAAAGGCTATGGAAGCAAATCCAAAAAGAAAAGCAGGCTGAAATCGGAGTCAACGGCCTCAATGGCGCATAACCAGTTCACACGATCCCCTTCAATACTAATAATTAAGAACGAAGAAGAAGAAGAGTTTGCAGTTGAAAGTTCGCCCTGGGAGTTGTAATGGGTTGCTACACCTCTAAGTAGTAGTATTTTAATTGCAGGTTTAGTGTGAGGGACAGATGTTGGGGTTATTACATTAGTACTTGGGTTAGGGATGTTGTAGCATTGACATAACCAAGTTATATTATTATCAGTTGATAGTTTACTACAAGTAACCTAACACTCCTTTTCTTAGAAGATTCAATTATTTTGACTTTACTGGACACTAATGCAACTGTTATAACAAATTACCAAAAGATAAATTGTTTGCTTTAGCTTTAAAACAAACTAAAGTGCACCCATCTTTTTTTGAGTACTCAGTCATAGAAAAGTTACTTTAAGTTATTAGACTTATGTGAACTATTACTAAAATGATAAACTGTTTTTTTTTTCAGATTTGTTTTGGAAAATATAAAAATGATAAGTCTTATTTAGGATAACACTTCCACAAAGATTAAAATTCTCGTAGAATGTCTATTATTAAACTAGATCAAGAGTTTTCATCCTATGATGAAGTTGAGGAAAAAATTCAAGAACTCCAGGACAAGGAGAAATTCAGACTCTGGAAACGAGACAGTCGCACAATAGCTGCAGCCATTAAACGCATGCCCAGAAGAACTTTTAACCCTGATGTCAAGTACAACGAGTTGCTGTATTGCTGTGTAAAAGGGGGCAGAGAAAAAAAAGATGATAATAGATCGATGAGGCAACGGTGCCCTTACCAGATAAAATTTCGATGTACTTCAGATGGGCAGCGTTTGAAAGTTGTGGCATTCACTACTAAGCATAATCACGATCCCATGGAATTCGCAGAAGTCGAAATGGAAAAAGCAGAAGTGAGTACAGTTTTAGCTGGGTTTTTTTTTATAGACCTATCAATTTTATTTTATTTGAAAAGCAAATATTGTAACTTTTTAAACACGTCATTTTTAAGTTTGGAATAAATGAAGCTCTTTCAATTTGTGTAGGTAAATGTAGGTTGTTTAAATAACTTAAAAAGTTTTAAAATGCAATGTTTATATTTTATTTCACTTCAAAACCTCATTATAGTTTTAAGAATAGAAAGTAATCTGAGTCATAAAATTGTTAAGCTTAAATATGTTTTTATTTTCATCCCTCTTAGAAATTTAAGTTTAAACTTTTCAAATTTTTTATGGAAACAAATTTTATGCCAAAAATAATTTATAATTTTCCGATGTCCAGTTATGTCTTACTCCCAGTAGAAAAAACTGCAATAAACTATTTTCTCTTTTTTTTTTAAAATTAGATCCTACTACCGATTACAACCTACTGTCCAATTGTTCATCATTTGGCTTATATTTGAAAAATTTACTATTTAGGTTATCAATTACTAACTCTGTTAATCAAATTGATTAAAGAACAATAATTAAAAGCGATTCGAAAATTCTTTTTTGTTGGCCTGATAAAATGCTCTTTTTTTCATTAACCAACAGATAAGCAGTTAGTCAGTTCTAAAACATTTTATTCTGAATCCTCAGTTGTCTCCTGTGTCTTCCCCAAGTGATGATGATGATCTGATAGACAACAGTGATATTAAAATAGAGGAGTTAGATGAAAGTATTTTAGATCAGCTGTCAGGTGCGGCAGAGTTTTCTTCTTCATCTCACAGCAATAGATCAACAAAAATTATTTCTAATGGGTCATACAAATACCCCAAGGTTAGTGTATTTTACTGAATTACAAAACTTATGGAATTCGTGAATTTATTGCTTGACTTATTACAACAGTAACAAAGGATGTATATTAATTGCCAAGCTTAAGGTTTGTGATCTAATAGCTTTTAAGTTGAGATAACTCCTTGGTTAGTGTTAGTCTTAGGTAGTTTGTTTTAACTGCTTACATGGACAAAAAATGCCCCAGTAATCAGTATACATTTTTAATAAGTTTGGGTAATTCACTTTTCATCAGTTTGCTATAAAGACATTTAACTTAATTAAAAGTGCATAAACAGTAGAACTTTTAAAAGTAGAAACAAACTTATGCAGGCTTTATTACTAACATTTGTTTAGGCTAATTTTTTAACACTGTTTAATTTTAAACAGGTCTTCTATTTCTCTTGGTTTTCTTTATTTTTAAACAAAGGTGTACAATAAAAACAATAATTTAACTCTTTATTTTTCAGCTTCGGGTAATTTTAGATGTGGATACTGGTATAGACGACTCCCATGCCATTATGTTGGCTTTGGCCCACCCCAACGTGGAGATCCTGGCCATCACTTGCTGTAATGGCAATGTTAATGTCGACTTGGTCTGTCAGAACACATTACGAGTGCTGCAAGCTTGTGGCAGGGGAGATGTATGTTACTATATTTTATGTATCTTTCAGTTGCGTTAGCTTAACAGCAGCATGGTATTTTTCTTACTGCATAGTATATGTATTCAACTTCATTATGAATTGTATGGCTCCTTATTCTAATATACCATTGAATGATTGCACATTGAAAATCTAAGCCCAATGCCTGGGTTTAAGATGAGATGGGTCAGGTGTAGCCAATGTATCAGACACCCTTTCTCCACATTGCTGGACAGGAAAGCTTTTTAACTAATATAAACAAAATTTATTTAATATTAAGATACTAAGAAGTGGGCCTACATAAAAAAATATAAATTAAGTATAATAGAATTGTATTAGTTTTAGATTGATAGTTTTGATCACATTTGATCTTGTATTTAATAGCATATATTGTTACTATAAATCTATTACTTTGCCAGTTTTTATTATAATATTTAATTTATGTAAATTAACTTTTATTACAATTAAAAGTTTTAATTTTTAAACAAAGCTACTCATAATTTGTATGTAGAGTTTATATGTATTTTACTCAGAAACTTAGGCAAGATATTTTTGTACACACAGTTCGTCCTAAATTACACTCCTCATTACTTTTTTGTGCCTTTTTTACCATATGACACAAAATTGTAGATTTATGCCTTTGTGTAAAAAAAAAATAAACAACAGTTTGTTTTCCCCAGATCCCAGTGTATAGAGGAGCAGAGTGCTCCCTCTTGGGAAACACATCACAGTTTGAAAACTTTAGCGGAGAGGCATGGAACACGCCAGTGGATAGTTCAGTCCTTCAGCCAGAACATGCAGCCAATGCCATGATCAGAATCATTAACAGTAACCCAGGTACAGTTTTCTAGACATCACAAACATTATCTACCCTTATTTAATACAACTAGCTCATTCAACAGACTCATAAATGGCATGATCAGAATCATTAACAGTAACCCAGGTAAAGTTGTATAGGCACCGCAAACATTATCTGCCCTTATTTAATACAACTAGCTCATTCAACTTCAACAGACTCATAAATGTCATGATCAGAATCATTAACAGTAACCCAGGTAAAGTTGTCAAGGCACCGCAAACATTATCTGCCCTTATTTAATACAACTAGCTCATTCAACTTCAACAGACTCATAAATGGCATGATCAGAATCATTAACAGTAACCCAGGCAAAGTTGTCTAGACACTGCAAACATTGTCTACCCTTAAAAAACCACTAGCCTTCATTAAAAAAACTTATAGCATAAGTAATAACTGTTTGAATTTCTTTTAACTAGAACTATCAGTATGAGCCTGCTGTTATTTATTATCTCTACATAATTTGTAGCTAATGCTAATTTCTGTTTTCTCATCTTGTAAATATTACAGGGGAAGTAACTGTTGTTGCTCTGGCTCCACTAACCAATTTAGCTTTAGCAATGAGACTGGATTCAACAGTTGGTAGAAAAATTAAAGATCTCTACATAATGGGGGGCAATATAGAAGGTATTGGATTCTTCTGTCTGGGTCGAAACTTGCAATTGGAAATAATATTGTGGTCAGCTGTATCATTTATTGAATAACCGTACTAAAATTTAATGAGAAACATGTTTTAAAGTTTTTATTTATAGCTATATTAATAGTGGTTCATTACAGTATATTTTTAAAATTTTATTTTTACTGCAAATACAAATGATTATTATTATAAAAATGTTTTAAATACTTTGTTTTATATAACAAGCTATTACACATTAAAGTAAACACACTAAAATGTTATTGAATTATCATACAAAATAATTTGTTGACTACATTAATGTCACTTTCCTGTATCAGCTCGAGGTAGGATAAGTACATGTGCAGAATTTAATTTCTATAACGACCCAGAGGCAGCCCAAGTTGTTCTTAAAGAATTTATCAACATCACTATTTTACCTTATGAAGTCTGTCGCAAGTTTCATTTATCATGGGTATGTTGCATTGTGATGTTTTTTTTTTTCAAATTTTCTGGTTACCTAGCTTAGCAGTAGTTAAATTTAAATTATAATTATTATGTTAGCTTTTTGGCTTTCATTGCTTTTAATTTTTCCCGCAGGATTTCTTTGACCTCTGGACAAACTCGGACAGCCCAGTGTCAGAGTTCGTCAAAAGATCAGTTCTTGAGTCCGCTAAACCAGCCAGAGCAGCAGGTAGAGAGGGCTACCGGTCATGTGACGGCTACTGCATGTCCTTGGTCGTGGACAGGTCAGTGGTCCAGAGCGCAGAACCAGTGTACTGTACTGTCGAGCTGTCTGGTCAGTTAACCCGCGGTCAGATGGTTGTGGACTGGGACGGGCTACTCCAGCAGCCATGCAATGCCTTAGTGGTCAAGGAGTTGGACATTGAAAAGATTAAATCACTCTTCATGTTGATGGTGAGGCCCCAGCAAGAGGCCCCCCCACACAACGCTGGCCATGTTCACAATAAATCAGGATACAACACATTCAAGGCAGAGAATGACAGCAATAATAACATCTGACAACGTATCTACCGGATGTTAAAAACTGTAATCAATATTCCAGTTTGTGCTAGCTTTCCGGACTTGTTAAATCAACTAATTGACTCACAGGTGTGTTCTAGGCGTGATTCAGGTATAACATCATTTAAAAAATTATCTTGTAAGTACCATTTTACATTTTTAAAAGTTATTCCATATCATCTGACATCATTTAGAAACCAACTTGTAAGTATCATTGTACATCATTTAAAGAAAAAAACCATTTAGCAATTCATAAACAATATTTAGCTTGTCTCAGCCAGCTACTTGTCAGTTCATTGACCACACATTTAGCTGCAGCTAGCTGTAGAATAAACTACACTATCTAGTCATGTTGAGCTATACCTGCCTACATAATAATCTCTTGTGGCTACAGTAGGTGACCATATATTCAACTGCTGCGTCTGTTTGGATGGGGGTATGCTTTTTTAATTGATATTTTTAATCTCATAAGCTACTTATTAAGAAAAATCTTAATTATTATTTTGTGGTAGCTTAAATTTCTTTAAAGATTTTTTTTTACTCAAGAAGCCACTAACTTTGTTGTCCAAATGTCCAGTTGTATAGTTCTTTTTGGAGGAAACTTGGTGGAGTTCAAAATATCAGTTTTATTGGGTATATAATATGGTTTGATTTGTCCCAGCTCCCAAGAAATCTAGGAGTTGTTGACTGATTCTACAAAAGTGAGTCACTAGTATTAACTTCTAACTAGTGTTTAATGGCTTTGTTTGGTTTTTTTTATTTTAATTATATTGACTGTAAATAATTGTGCCAAAATTTATTTTATATGATTTTATTCTTATGTAATTTATTCCACTTCATACAGTATATGTGATAAGTGTTCCATGTCAAGCTTATGTTGCCAATGATTGTTTAAATTCTTGATGTGATTTTTTTTTTCAAAATAAATATTGATTTGCCAGGCGTAACTATGTTAATGGTATCAAAATATTTTTAGTTTTTGAAAACATTCAAACATAACTTAAGGTTAATTTAGAAATTTGAAAAAAAAAATTGATGAAAGATTTCAATAGGTGAAATAATTTGTTTTAAAATGTAGGAAGTCATTATTGTGTTCAGCCTTTGTTGATGTATTGCCTAATATTGTGCGAAAAAATGTACTTTAGAGTTCGACTGTTTTGCTAAATGTAGTTCAGTTACTATTAGTTTGAATAAATTGGTTTGATTTAGTGTTTTAATGTTTGGATTTTCAGCTTTTAACTTGCGCACTTTGTCATCATTTGTATGGCTTGCTATGCTAGTATTTTTAAAATAGCTGACTTGTATTTACGTGCTTTCTGAAATCTAAGACAATATCATCATTCTATTCAGTACTGAATTTTAAATACAATTTTGTTTCACTTAAATAAATAATTGTTTATTTTAAGTTGTTTTTAAATTAATTAAAGTTGTAGTTGATATTTTATTAACTGTGAGAAGAGAAAATGACATTTTCAGGTCATTGCTGAAATGTTATTACAGAACTTCCAAGTTTTTTCCTCTGGTTTTACTTGATCAGTGCTGGGAATGTAATTGCTATTAAACTTCTGTTAGTTGAATCTTACATTATTGTCAAATACAAGTGTTCAAAGGGAAAGATACTGATTCTTTTAGTATGGTTTTTTATACAAAATGAATGGGGTAATGAAAAAAAATTGGTTTTTTTTTTTAACTTTTTTATTTCATTGTTTTAAAAGTTTTCTATTGTTTTAACCAGGTCAGTCCTGGTGTTGATAGATCAGGTTAGTGCTGATGTTGATAGAGCAGGTTAGTCCTGGTGTTGATAGAGCAGGTTAGTCCTGGTGTTGATAGAGCTAGTTAGTCCTGGTGTTGATAGAGCTAGTTAGTGCTGGTGTTGATAGAGCTAGTTAGTGCTGATGTTGATAGAGCTAGTTAGTACTGGTGTTGATAGAGCAGGTTAGTCCTGATGTTGATAGAGCAGGTTACTGCTGGTGTTGATAGAGCAGGTTAGTGCTGGTGTTGATAGAGCTAGTTAGTGCTGATGTTGATAGGGCAGGTTAGTGCTGGTGTTGATAGTTAGTTAGTGCTGGTGTTGGTAGAGCAGGTTAGTACTGGTGTTGATAGAGCAGGTTAGTGCTGGTGATGATAGAGCAGGTTAGTCCTGGCGATGATAGAGCAGGTAGTCCTGGCGATGATAGAGCAGGTAGTCCTGGCGATGATAGAGCAGGTTAGTCCTGATGTTGATAGAGCTAGTTGACATTGTCAAGTGACAATCTTTGTATGCTCCCCTCATCAACTATTTCCATCCTTTCCTGCTGGATGTTGAAACTTTGTCTTCTAGTACATCAGCAATTCTTTGCGTTCTCTTTTTTTTTTGGTTGATTGTAAAACTTGGGGCCTTCTGCGGTTGCGTTATGGTACTTTTGAAATGGTTATATCGTGTAATGGCTGACATAAATATTGCTTGGCGTATTATTCAATGCTTCAATAATTCTAACTAAATAAACAATACTAGCAGTTTTATGAGAGGTTAAATATCCGTCCAATCATATTCAATTAAGTGTGGTGGCAGTTAGTTTGTTAGTAAGGAAAAATAAATTGAGTGTGTATTGAATGTAGCAATACCTGATTTGGTGCATGATTACAATTGTTGAGTAAGAGTTTTGTCAGTAAAAGTTTTAAGCCATAAGTTACTCTCATGGTATGTCTTTAGCATTCTTGGAGCAGTAAACATGTAAGTGTTAGATGTGTAGATGTAAGGATTAAAATTAGCACTTATAATTTGCTGGGTAACAGTTTAATTCATTCATTTTTTAATTTTTGTTTTAGTTATTTGGTTACACCTCAGTCAGTGTTATGTAAAAATGGTAATGTTTCTTGTGTCACCCTAAACATTAGTCTTACTGGCAAAAGTGTTTTAATGTTGAAATCTGCTGCCTGAAGCCAGTTTTAAGTCTGCATTCAATTCCATCTTCCTCTTCTGTTGTTTATTTCTTTTCTGATTGCAGCCAAATTTTTTTTACAGCTACATTTTATGTAATCAAAATGTTCTTTGTATAGCTATCAAGGCTGTGTGAAATGGTTTAAAAGTTAGTGTTTTCTAAAGCTCTAATTAATTTTAGGTTTGTTATTCTTTTATTTTAATTTTCTGAAGTTAAACTTAACAAACATAGCCCTAACAGCAAATATAACACCAGATAAAAACATCATCACATAGCTGGTATTATTTCAATAGAAACACTTTTTTCCCTTTGAAGAATTTTTGGCTAAGAACTTCTATAACATTTTTAAAAACATTATGGTTTCATTTTTTTTGTACATGAATATTTCCTTACACACTTTCTGATTTCCATGTATTAAAAACTGTAATTACAGTTACTTTGAAGAAATATGGCCATGCATCTTTTTTGCGTCACTCAGACAATTGTGAACAAACACTGCCCATTACAAACAAAAGACAACAAAGCTGTCTTTAGACCAATCATTTGTTGAATGGCTTATGTTATATTTGTGTTATCTCATTGATAAATTTTTTTCAAATATTTTTTTCTGTGTTAGTGATTTTTATTTCATTTCATTTCATACTCAATTCAGTCAGTTGTATAAGAAACTAATATTTTTTGGATGTGTTAGCCATTTTTTATTCAATTTGATGACTGCTTTAAAAACAAATATGTTTGGTTGCAGCTAGTTGTGATTAAGTTTTCTAAACAGTTTGCATAATTTGTGATTATGATTCATGTCTGTCTGTTATGTTCAAATTATTTGTACACATTTGAAAATGTAATTCCAAAATGATGACACGTTTTTTTAATTGGCATATTTTGTTTTGGAGTTAATTTTTCTAAGCATAAATGTTTTTGTCTTAAAGGTTTCATTGTTATACAAATGTATTTTTAAAAGTTCCACAAAAAAAATAGTGTATGCAATTGTTAAGGTTTAGCTTGATTTGTAATGATTGTTGTGAGTTTGAAATGAGTTTTTTTTTTGTCCCATTGGTTTACATAATGACTGGTGTGAGTTTGAAATGAGGTTTTTTGTCACATTGATTTATATAATGACAGGTGTGAGTTTGAAATGAGGTTTTTTGTCCCATTGATTTACATAATGACTGGTGTGAGTTTGAAATGAGTTTTTTTGTCACATTGATTTATATAATGACTGGTGTGAGTTTGAAATGAGTTTTTTTTGTCACATTGATTTATATAATGACAGGTGTGAGTTTGAAATGAGTTTTTTTGTCCCATTGATTTATATAATGACTGGTGTGAGTTTGAAATGAGTTTTTTTGTCCCATTGATTTATATAATGACTGGTGTGAGTTTGAAATGAGTTTTTCAAAGTTTTCCATCACATAACTTTTCTGTTGGTCATCATTCTAGCCCCTCCACCACACTTTGAGTCGTGTTACAGCTGTAGCTGTTGTCAGATAAAACCAAAACTATGTGAAGAATAGATTGAAAGTGAAAGATTATTGTATCTGCACACATTTACTGTGTCTTTTAAAAACCTTATGGGGTGAGGGTCTAAAACCACCTCCCTTCTTTTAAAACAAAATTTCATATAAATTTAATTTTTTCCTAAATTTAAAACCATCCACACTATATTGACATTTGTTGAAAGAAGTTTTAGCCAATTCAAGTTATTGTTGAAATCTATATAGATAGTATTTTACGATGACAAAAACTATGTAGATAGTTCTTAGATTGACCAAATAATTAAAGTGACTTAGCTAGCCAAATTACCCAGCTAGTCAAATGACCCAAATGGTGGTGGAGGGTCCGTTCTAATCTTGATATCACTGCCTTCTATTTATTTGCTACAGGGGTTCACCTATCTTTTACCTGAAGGTTTAGTGTTCAAGGTGTTGCCTCTATGTTAAAACTGCCGTGTTTCTGTGATAATGCAATAAAATGGACTTTCCTTAAGTTACTTTGCTGCGTTCTGAGTTTTCTATACAAATTTATTTCAAGTGAGTTAAGTGTTCATTGAAGTTGTACTGAAAAATAATTTATTTATAAATAATGCAGTCACATCAATCTCTGGTTGAACTCCAACTTGACCCCCTCAATCGGTAAATCAGCAGTGCAGAAGAGCCAAGAAATCTCAAAATAGTTTACTTTTAAAACTTCTATGACATCATTCAGTTTAGTGTTATTGTATACAGGGGCGTAGCGAGGGGGGGGGTGCCGACCGCACCGGGTGACACCATTTAGGGGGGTGACACCAAGGCAAAAAATAGCAAAATATATAGAGAAAAACTTGAGGGGGGGGGGGTGCAAATCGAAAGTTTGAGGGGAGGGGGTGCAAACTTGAAAGTTTGTCGCTACGCCTCTGGGGGGTGACACCCGACCTCGCTACGACACTGATTGTATAACATACAAGGTGCTCAGTTGATAGCTAATTAATGAAATCACCACCACAAATCTCATTTAAAGCGAGTACATGTGCCTGGGTGCTTATTCTGTCGGTTACAATTCTGCAACATTACAATTCTGCAACGGCAACGTTTTACAGAAATCCCCGAAACTCTGTCTCATTCACACCACTCCTCCTTTATTGTCCCATTGAATCCCCCCCCCCCCCCCCCCCCACCTCCCAAAGCACA